AAGAAGGTGAATGTAGCCCGATTGAATAGAGAGTCGTTCGAAGCCATCGCGAGTGCCACTGTGATGGACTTGGAGTACTTTGCCAACAGCGATGAAGAGCGGTATAGTATCCAGCAGCATGAGGAGATGCTGAGGAACCTAGTGGTGCAGCTGACCGAGTATCCCGTGTATGTGTCGAGCCCATTGCATGTACAGTATGGTGTTTAGCACAAGGGGACAGAGTTTGTGTTGTGAGCGTGATGGAAGGTGTCGTTTAGTCGGAGGATGGAGGAGATGTTTTTTCCGTGATGATTCTGCCTATGGGGGCAATGGTGACATGTCCGGTGTTGCAGCAACACTGTTGCTCTTCGTGGTCAATACTAGTAAGTACTAGATACGTTGTAGTAGAGAAGTTCTATAATAAAACTAGTACCAATAGTAGTATTTATGTACGGTTTGCGGGATGGTATGATAGAGTCTCGAATTTCATATGCTTTTAGAATGTGACGGCAGTTTGGTTAATAATTATAACCAATTTCTGCTGTCAAAATAATGGTGTAGTGCCGGTGTAACAGTGACGTGCGAGTACTCAGAAAACGTGTTCAATGAGCAAGAGACTTGCCGGTTGGTATATAACGGTACATAGTAAATATAACGCGATTGTGATACTGATACTCGGCATGGTGCGGCGCTGAGTCAGGTAAAGAGACTAAGGCGGTGGTTATGATCTTTTCTTGGATGAAAGTGTGTGTGAGATTGAAGTCCAACGACAACACAGCTTAGACCTTCATCGATGCACATCAGTCTTAGTCTTAAATTTTCCCGTTCATCACGCGGAGCAGAGTTGTCCACAGAGGGAGATAACCTCTGAGTATTGCCAACTCTCACAGACAGTTACCAATACTGTATTGGTAACATCTACTTCGAATGTCTATCAGAAAATCTTCTCGAGGTATATCTATTGAAGTTGTAGTATTAGGGAGAAGGTATTATGTGAATTCTCTGACCGAAGTAATTTAGTTGTCTATTGTACATATTGTTGTGACTGTATGGTGCGTGTGGAATCAAAGCTGATGCATATATGCTGGCCACTTGATAGACTCTTTCTTGCGTTATTCAATTAACCCTGTTGTGTATTGTAGATGACGATTACTGCATTGCTCGAAAATTGTATATATATATTCTTGCCGCACAAATATACATACAATATTCAAGATGTTGAATATGTATATGCGATGTACATGCATTGTATGTGCGAATATGTATAAATGATGAGTGGCAGCCACCATCGCTCGCCAAGACTTATGCATGAGTATTCGAATTAGACTCCTTCAATCCGATCCTCTCTGAGGTTTCGTTGTCAACTACAAATTCTTACACCCGAACACTTCCAGGAAGAGCAAACCCATATCATTGTGAATAACGAGACAGAAGGCTTTTTAGGTAGCGTCCATGAATTGCATGAGCAGCTGTTAAATTAATACAGGAAATCATGAGCAACATGACAAGGACGGTACACATTGACGCCACAGAGCCGTTCAAAAATCTATTTCAAGCAGTGGAGGAGATACCATCAGCTCAGCCCGGCAAAGTGGGCAGCGATAAATGGCCGTTGTGGATGAACCTAACCATCTAAAAGTGCGAACCACAACACTGGGTGAAGTGATCAAGGGTTGGGATATGTCCGTGAAGGGTATGCAGGTCGGAGAGGTGAATTCAGGATGGTGTGGTATGCTCGGCCCGCACGCTCAGAGCACTTCAGGTCCGCAAGCTATTCGTGCCTGCC